AATGGCATGGTGTTGATAAACTTGAGTGCGCTCCACCTGTGTTAATTAGGCTAAGTATCTGACGCGCATTGTGTTCACCTTGAAAATAAAACATAATTTTGTATTTTTGGGTAAGAATAAGAAGCACTTCATCCGGTAATTAGTGCCTTTCGTTCCAACATAAGAAAGCATTTCTGGAATCTGCATCTGAAATAGCATTTAGATGTATTTACACAGTTTATGTATCTCAGAGGGGACATGGATGCATTTAAATTGCAGTTACAGATGCATAAATAGGCCTAATATTTTGTTTTTAACATAAAAGTTGAATACTGATATTTCAAATAATTTAAAACATGAAAAAAATGACTGATTCATTCAGAAACAAAGCATTTGACTGTGTTAATGAGTGAATCACTGAATCATTTATTCAACCGATTCGTTCAAAAAGCTGATTCATTCAATAAGTAAACACCGTCCATTGCTCAGAGACGCAAAACAGTGCTGTGATCTTTGTTTGGAACTATTTTCGTTAGCAAAATGTAGCAAAAACAAGCAATATTATGTCTAAAATGTAAGTCACTTATGGCTTTACTGAACTTGTATAAAATGATTATTAAATGTGTTCATGCTGATATCTGCAGAAAAACGGTACTCTTGGTGTGATATAGATTAAGTTAACTATATTAAATTGTATAAATATAAAAAGCATAGAGAAGCATTTTTGCCGTCTACAATTTTGAATGCCTGTAATTTTGAGTTTTAATAGACTAATAAATCAATGTGTGTGTACTCTGTGTGTGATTTGGTGATATAGCCTACTTGATAATGTCAGATCGCACATCATTACAACAACACTTACCATATTATAGCAGACAATGCTGTATGTCGCACACCCCAGACTCGACTTGAGTGGAAAATGAGTCATCCCCCAAAAATACTTAAGTACTGTAACAAAGTATTATTACTTTGTTACATAACACCACTGATCGCCAGTTATAATGGGTTCTGTTGTCTATCGCGTTGCACCACTCGCATCCAGTGTAACGGGGTAAACTGAGCAAAGAGCTCCAGATCACGTCAGTGAAACACTGTTTGTTTGTTTGTTTGCTTTATTTTGCTACGGATTCAGTTTTAAACAAGATGAAATACAGTATAAGTCATTATAATCCGTAATTATGTCCCTACTGGATGGAACAAATGCCTCGTTTATAATGGGTTTTAATGTTTATGTCTCGTAGACCGCATAAACACGTTTCATTACACCAAATACACCAAATAATGTTCTTTTTAGCAACATCATATGACCCCTTTAATATGTTACTATAGACATTGCCTTACCCCGCTCATATGGTATTAATTTATTTGTGCAGGTCTTAAAAAAGGTCTTAAAAAGTCTTAACTTTGAGCTTAAAAATCCTGCAGCAACCCTGAGACCGTTCTGCAGAGAGGCTCAAAAATTTAAAATAGCCTATTACTTCTAAATTGTAAACGTGTGTGTGTGTGTGTGTGTGTGTGTGTGTGAAGAGATGATCAAACTCACCTGATACTGTCAGTGTAACTTCAGCACTGATGTATGAGCTGCGTGATCCTCCTCTCTCTGCTCCATAACAGGAGTATTTACCTGCGTTAGTCTCAGTAACAGACCTCAATGTGTGTTCCTGTTCACTGTAAGTGTAGAATGAACCGTCTTTATACCAGACATACTGCCAGCTAGTGACTCCTTCACCATTAATGTCACATCTGAGAGTGACTGTCTTTCCTCTGAATACATGTTGAGCAGGTTTAATGGTCACCTTTGGTTTTGGTGTTTCTGTAGAGCAACAACAATTTACAATGAAAATAATGTGCTGCTTTTACTGTATGAACACAGTTACTTGATTGTAAAACATGCATGTTTATTCAAGTTATATTGGTGTTGGGCAAGTACAGCAGTTTAAGGTCAAATCATGGTGTTGGACAAAATTAGTACTATAGTACTATTAGTACTATGAGGACCATACAACCTTTTATTTCTATTGGGAAAAAAGTGATGCAGAAATGTATCATGACTTCTGCAATATAAAATGCAGCAGTTTCTCACTGACACATCAACAAGGCTGTAAATGGCGAATGGTTGTGAAAATCAGGACAAATAAAAAGAGTTAACATATTTTATAATGACTGTTGATCGAGACAGAAACTGATCATTTTGTTCAATCTCAAGACTTGAGAGGGATGAACATAATATTTCTGAATATATTTTTTGTGCACTGGAAATGTTTTTGATGTTTCTTGTCACACCTCAGAACAGTCATGCCTTGTTAAAGAGGTATTTGTAATGCAACAAAAGTAACACTCATTCTGTCAGTGGTCTGTAACAGCGTAGAATCACCTTTTGTTTTTTTTATTAAATTTATGAATCAAATCCACTCACCTTCAGTGTTTCCAGAGTGGATTTTTGAATGACTGTTGATCGAGACAGAAACTGATCATTTTGTTCAATCTCAAGGCTTGAGAGGGATGAACATAATATTTCTGAATATATTTTTTGTGCACTGGAAATGTTTTTGATGTTTCTTGTCACACCTCAGAACAGTCATGCCTTGTATATTTAGGTATAGGCAAATATAGGTATTTGTAATGCAACAAAAGTAACACTCATTCTGTCAGTGGTCTGTAACAGCG